ATTAGCTGTGAAACTAAAGTAATGTGCGATATTGAAAGTAAACTTACCCCGCTAGAATGGAGCTGTGAAACTAGAGTAATATGGAATTATAGTTTTAAAACTGCTATGATAATAGGAGCTATTCCATATGGGACTAGGAATAGCTCAACTCTAATATAACTTGATCAAACAGCTCGTGACAATTATTACAGTTTTAATACTGTCATAACAAGTACTAGGAATAGCTCAACTCTAACAACTAGATAATAAATAATAATAAAATTTTGTAGCTTAAACACAAACTCTAAGCCCAGTGGATAAACCACAAAACTTATGCTCTATTGTGTGAAACAAAGATACTAGATCAAGATAACTATCAAGGAGTGTATGCATAGGACATAAAAAGTTTAAACATCTCGTGACAATTATTACAGTTTTAATACTGTCATAACAAGGACTAGGAATAGCTCAACTCTAACAACTAGATCAAACATCTCGTGACAATTATTACAGTTTTAATACTGTCATAACAAGGACTAGGAATAGCTCAACTCTAACAACTAGATCAAACATCTCGTGACAACTATTGTAGTTTTAATACTGTCATAACAATAACTAGGAATAGCTCAACTCTAACAACTAGATCAAACATCTCGTGACAATTATTACAGTTTTAATACTGTCATAACAAGGACTAGGAATAGCTCAACTCTAACAACTAGATCAAACATCTCGTGACAATTATTACAGTTTTAATACTGTCATAACAAGGACTAGGAATAGCTCAACTCTAACAACTAGATCAAACATCTCGTGACAACTATTGTAGTTTTAATACTGTCATAACAATAACTAGGAATAGCTCAACTCTAACAACTAGCTCAAACACCTCGTGACAATTATTACAGTTTTAATACTGTCACAACAAGGACTAGGAATAGCTCAACTCTAACAACTAGATCAAACATCTCGTGACAATTATTACAGTTTTAATACTGTCATAACAAGGACTAGGAATAGCTGAATTCTAACAACTAGCTCAAACACCTCGTGATAATTATTACAGTTTTAATACTGTCATATCAAGGACTAGGAATAGCTCAACTCTAATAACTAGATCAAACATCTCGTGACAACTATTGTAGTTTTAATACTGTCATAACAAGGACTAGGAATAGCTCAACTCTAATAACTAGATCAAACATCTCGTGACATTTATTGTAGTTTAAATACTGTCATATCAAGGACTAGGAATAGCTCAACTCTAATAACTAGATTAAACATCTCGTGACAATTATTACAGTTTTAATACTGTCATAGCAAGGACTAGGAATAGCTCAACTCTTACAACTAGATCAAACATCTCGTGACAACTATTGTAGTTTTAATACTGTCATAGCAAGGACTAGGAATAACTCAACTCTAACAACTAGATCAAACATCTCGTGACAATTATTACAGTTTTAATACTGTCATAACAAGGACTAGGAATAGCTCAACTCTAACAACTAGATCAAACATCTCGTGACAACTATTGTAGTTTTAATACTGTCATAGCAAGGACTAGGAGTAGCTCAACTCTTACAACTAGATCAAACATCTCGTGACAAGTATTTTAGTTTTAATACTGTCATAGCAAGGACTAGGAATAGCTCAACTTTAATAACTAGATCAAACATCTCGTGATAATTATTACAGTTTTAATACTGTCATATCAAGGACTAGGAATAGCTCAACTCTAACAACTAGATCAAACATCTCGTGACAATTATTGTAGTTTTAATACTGTCATAACAAGGACTAGGAATAGCTCAACTCTAACAACTAGATCAAACATCTCGTGACAACTATTGTAGTTTTAATACTGTCATAGCAAGGACTAGGAATAGCTCAACTCTAATAACTAGATCAAACATCTCGTGACAATTATTACAGTTTTAATACTGTCATAACAAGGACTAGATATAGCTCAACTCTAATAACTAGATCAAACATCTCGTGACAATCATTATGATTTTCATACACTGCAACTGTAAACTCAAATGTATTAAACAAATTCACAACTGATCGTACAGTTTAAAATGGAACAAAATAAGACAGAATAATTGATCAAATGTTTTAAAAATAAGCTGTTAAAAAATAAAGGTATCAGACGAGTAGCTTAAATGCGGGGCGAAGGTCTCAATTGAAGCAATAAATTGTAATGCTGCAGGGCGCCGGGGCGCGGCATAGCAACCATCCAATATGCAACCATCCAATGCGAAAATTTAAACTCACATTTGGATATAATGCGCGTGAGTGCTTACAAATTTGCTTTTGGCGGAGATATAAACTGCGCCTATTTGATATTGTGCATGTATTGGAGGACGTCGCCGCGCGCCGCCCTGACGCACCGCGCGAACTATCAATTTTTGCTCCACAAGATCTGAAGATCGTTGCTTTGCTTTAAAAAGTTGACATTTTCAATTGATAAAAAATATTGACCGTCGATAATCAGTTCTTAACTCGGAGCGCGTTTAAGCCGGCAAGTTGTAAAATTAAAATTACAAAAGTAAGTGTAGTGTAAGTGTAACGAGAGTAAAAATTATAAATTTTGAATTGCAAATGATCACTATTATAATTGTTGCTCCCACTATTAATTACCTGGGGACCTTAGGCTACTATATTTATAGTCATACTCATAGAGATTCGGCGGAATGACAGGCTGCTGGCTGCAAGCGCGGCCCAGTAACGCTCCCACTAAATGCTAAATTCAAAATTGCTGATCGCCTCAATTTTTAAAAATATTTGTGAAAAGGCCCTGAGGTTGTAACTCATAATTTGTAATTGTAGCGCAATGCACTAATACTAATAGACTGGGCCGCGCTGCGCATCAAATAATGTTTCTCGTTACCACAACCTATTCGGTAGATCAGCGAAATGTTACTGGGAGGCGCTCAGCCTGTCATATAATTCCGCCAAGTCTCAATTCTATTTACCTGGGGACCCCAGGCTATTATGTTCATTAACATAGAGATTAGGCTGAGCGCGGCCCAGTAATATTCTATATGATTATGCAGAACATAAATATAATAGCCCAGGGTCTTTAGGTAAGCGAGATGTTGTCCATTGTTATGTTAATCGTTAATGGACTAGCCCGGCGCGCGCTACTTTGAAGAAATTAAGACGAGTAACATCCGTCAAGGCGAAATGCACCACTGTGTCACGCCGAAATGCGAAGGATTGACATTGTGAATCAAAGGTTTATAACCTACCAAGACTGAAGATATTTTTGAGAATATTTTTACTGGGCGCGGCGGCGTTCAGCCTGTCATTCCGCCGAATCTCTATTTATGTTTATGAACACAAAAGGGATGATGATTAATCACTTTACACTCTACTGTCACGTTGACGGATGTTACTCGTCTAAATTTCTTCGAAGTAGCGCGCGCCGCTTTCTTCTCGAAATGTTATGGCTATGGCAAATGCTACGAAGTAGCGCGCGCCGGGCCAGACCATTAACAATTGTCAACTGTCACGTGACTTTTTTAACCCGTTCTCTAGCTGGTTCTGAACGACTTTTCGAAACCCTAACCCTCTAATCTGATCCCAACCCTAACCCTAACGTAACCCAATCCTTATGCTGAAACTCTAACCCTAATAACGAGAAATTAGGCTAACTTATACGGTCATATCACGTGATCGATATAATACAGTTTTTCGCCAATATCTCGTCAGGAGAGCATTTTAACCATATGTCATGGGGGTGATTCGGAATCAGCGACAGAAAATACATCGATTGAAGTTGGTTACAACCTGAACCATCGGGGGGCTCTTTTAGAATAATCTCGAAGATCGACTGTAGAGTGATTCAGCACGCTCGACACAAAAGCCTGGGTTCCCCAGGTTGCAGGTAATTTCAACCATGTATAATGTTTACCTATACTATTGATTCACGATGTCAATCCTTCGCAGCTCGGTGAGGCACAGTGGTGCATCTCGCCGATCTACCGAAGGATTGATGCATAACAACAAGACACGCGCTAAAGACGCGCATTTTCTGAGTGATGTTAACGATAGCTTTAAATTCACTGATGTCATTATTATTCAGCGTGACCGGTAATAGTTTAAAAATCAGAAGGAGAAAACACATGTTTAAATTACTAAAAAAGGAGTATCACTTTACAGGATTGAATTTAAATATAGTTATAACAGATAAGAGAGGAATTTGTTTCCCTTTGAATCAATCAAACTAGATGAATTGTTGTAAATACTTAGATCAAACTATCAATCTACAGGCTATCGTCAAACATGTTGCAAGGCGTCATCTTCAGTGACATAATAGATAAGAGTTTATTAACTATCATGCCAACTTTAGAGACGGTAACCACATTAAACTAAAGTTTTCCCAATCAAAATAAAGGGTTTATACAAAATAAAAGGTTTATGCACTAGACTGCGAGACAATTAACCTTATGCAATGCAGGTTAGTATAACTATAATATCGGACTGAGTTGAAATTTCTGAGAGCATGATACCCCAAAATAAATATATGCCTGTGTCTGGCAATAGCGTTCAGATGGCTTCCGAACTTGTGCGGATAAGATAATATAAAAAATACAAATAAACTATAATAACAATCTGAAAGTTAATGTATCAGTACAGATCTTATACTCGAAATCAGGCACTTTCAAAACATTTCTCTTAAATTATCTTTCTTAACACCGTTCAATTGTAACTTTGAATTAAAATATTATGATGATCCGGACGATGATAAATATTAAATTACAACTGATTATATAATATATATATGGATTTCGGCCTGTCGATGCTGGAAGCTGATCAGCTAATCGTTAATCGTTACCATGTGACAAGAATAGTATGATGAACCTCCCAATCAGTATCTATGTATCAAAAGAAAATATTGATCTAATTCAACTCGTCGGGAGCCCTTTTGAAACATCTCGAAGTTAGAGTGCAGAGTGCATGATTACTGATTATCAGCACGATTGGGTGAAACAAAGACGAAAACGTGTGTTGATTAGAATTAAAAGAGGAAGATATTTAGTGATAAATTGTGCACTCTTGCATTTAAGTTTTAATTGTTAGACTTGTTCGATGTAGGGCCTTTAATTTAACCTAATACTAATGCAGTTACTTAATACTTGGTAAGTCTAGGGAAAACAGGTGCTAGTTGTCGGAAATGAAATGGAGTCTGTTCCTGATCGAAGTTACATGATGCTGATAGATTTGATGCAGCTCAGCACTCAGCAGCCACTGTCTTCAAATAGAGTGTTCCAGTTCTGCAATCTGCAGTCTCAAATGTTTTCGCCCAGCTTTTCTTTTCATCGTGGTTATAGAAGACAGACCTGAAGAAATACTAGTATAATGATAATATAGGTAACATGTCCAGAATGAGTAAAATTGTATTATCGGCAAATTTACTTATGTGAAAACTCCCAACAGGGTGGCGCTGGCCCAGAAGTAACTGCACACAAGCAACCCTTTAATGATCACGCACGTAATTTGTGTGAAAAATATGTAACTCATTTAACGAAGTCAGTGAAAAGAACCTACCTTTATTTACCAATGTCGATTTTTTGCTTGTGATGAAGTAGTCCTCGCAAATGTGAGATATGTATGTAGTTTGTTTTTAAAAGTAGGATTGTAGTCATAGTCGATGTATAGCGACGGTAGTTTACCAGCAGCTCCCTGTACAAATAGAAATGTGGTTTTTATATAATATTACTAGTTAAATTAATGAGTACAATGCAGGAATAAAAAAATGTGTCTTAAATGTTTTATATTAAATGTGTTATAATTATATTAACCACCTTATATTCGTATAATATGTACTCACAAACAATGATAGTCCCAACTGTTTTTAATTGCTTATAATTTAAACCTTCTTATTAAATAATTTAGATGACTGTGTCTGATCTAAAATTGCACGAGAAATAGAGAAAATTAGGTCTCAGACAGAACTCGACCGGGATATAACCGGCGCAGCCGGAATACCGGCTGGTATTTGGCGATTTTGTACCGGTACCGGCCGGGATTTTGGTTTTAGCCGGGATTTTTCAAAATAAATTCAGTTTTTCTCAACGTTAATTTGAGTCCAAAATTAACAAATCTGTGAACATTTTCCTAAAACATTTTGACGAAGTCATTGAACAATGGAGACTGGAGTCAATCTATATTTAACATAATCATGAATGTACGAATTATGGACTTCTTTCTGACTTATGACTTAATTATTGTGACTAAGTGTCACGGCTCACGGTCTTGTGTTACCGAGGGACAAGTAAAACAGAGTTCTCCGGGTAAAGAAAGCATTAATAAATGCTATTCAGTATTCATCCTATTCAATTATTCAGGTAAGGTGATGTAAACTGTAAAGTGATAAGCTCCAACGTCAAACACCATGTTCAATTAAATAAGTTTAAGTAACCAATACCAGATCACAGGATTGTTATAGTTACGGAGACTGTTGGAAACGATGCAAACCAGGATCGGACTCCTATCAGAAATAGTCGACCACCGGTCCAGCCTCCCTCAAACTCAAATGCCCTACCACTACCCCAGACCACATCCACCTCTTCAGCCAGGAACAGCGCTCCCACTATACCACTACCAGCAGTTCCTACCGCCTCAGAGGATACACTGCACGTGCCCGTTATTCCTCATGCCTCGTCTTAAATGTCCAGTCCATGAATCCTGTGCATCAAGTGCGAGTATATGGGAAGTGCCAAAAATCTCAGCTCTTATTCAGGAGAAATCCAAAAACCACTCGTTACCGTTTATTGCACTTACGGAAACGTGGCTCAAGTCCTACATGTCAGACAAATACAAAATGTGCATCACCTCTTTCTCCTGCTGAGCAGAACCTCCCCCTTAAAAGTAAACAAATCTGCATCGCCTCCCAACGACAATCCAGATATATTAAGCAGCAGAGACAATCATTTAAGGAGACTTCGATATCTATCAGGATCATGATTTTACTGCCTGAGAACTCAGCACTTCAGGATGAAACATATAATATTTGGTTTTCTCGATTTCATTCATATTTAGACAGAAGTCCGTGTAGATAATTGGTTATAGAATAATTGGATATAATTTTATGCGAAGTGTGTCTGCGAAAATATACGTGTGAACTGGTCATCCCGCAAATGCTGAAAAAGTAGATGTTACCTATCATAAAATAACCGCTCGCACCGTACAGTGTACACGACAGAGTTGTGACTGCGTTTACAAATTCTTTATCATATTGATGTGTTGCCATGGCAACCGAAACTCCATCGGAAGATCGGCCTGTAAGGCATAATCATGATAATACACAGTATCAAAACATTGCCATTGATATCATAGCAACATTCCAGAGATTAGATTATGTGTGTGTAAGAAAATGTATGTTATAGTATTATACAGTCTGCTAGAACATTCCGTTTACACATGGTGGCCGATAACAACTTGTTTAATTTATCTCCGAATTACACACAAATTTCTGAAAGTTTCGTAGACTTAAATCAATTACAGAGGGTGTGGCTATTGGCCAGCCCCTCTATTTCACTATTATGGTTGAAACTATAAGAATACAGATTATATTGTTACAGTGATTTTACAAAAGTCGAAACAGTAAACACCAATTTGTAGGATACTTTAAATCACACCAAAATTGGTCCCAGAATGCAATGAAATCTGATGGCGTCTTTTCAGTGAAAAAGAGGCCACACTCTCTGTAATTGATTAAAGTTTACGAGACCTTTAGAAAATGAGTTATATAACTTGCAACTTAAACTAAGATAAATTGAGTATTTATACTCAATTTATCTTAGTTGCATGAGTAATATATATATACTCTCATTTTTTTAGAGCAAACGTAATTTAAATGGCTAAACACAATTCAATAAAATTTGGCTCGATCCGATTATCCAAACTATCAAATAAATGCGAAAATGAACCTTCTTTTGAAAACAATGAACACAAATATGTTTCGATTTGACAAATTTCTCGAACCAGTGGTGGTAGTAAGTCATACCAGAACCAATTATTTCAATTGGGCACTCAGTGACTGAGCTATTAATGCCAACGTTTGCACACTGACTTTTGGCCCACCCTGTATATTTATAATATACGGCTGGAAAAAATGTAACTGGATATCTGCCACAATGCTGCTATTATTAAGGTTAAAGTAACATTTAGCACATAAAGAAGTCTGGTTTGCTAGGTTTTAATTGGTCGTATAATAACAAATAAAAATGAGTTAAGACTACAAAAACGGTCGATAGAACCTAATTATAATACCTGTATCGAGAACTCGACTTCAATGCACTGATAGCGTTGGTACTAACATTCTATCAAATTATGTCATATCTTGAGACTTGATAGCTGCCTGAAACAGTTTTGAGTCAACATTATCGTGATATTCTAGAAATTGAAACCAATTCAGGTTTCAATAAATGCCATAGAATTAAATTCTACCTTTTTAAATTTTAAGAATTTGTTGATTTATTAAAATTCTGTCTCAATTAATATATAAGGGTACATGCAATGTATTTCGACACGCACTGTAGACTCACTTATTGGATTCGTGCTAGATGCTGTGTACGTCACCCTCTTAACCACCTCTATGGCGAAGATGAGGATGGTAAGTGCAAGTACAGTAATGTGAGGAGAGGATGGGTATCATTTAGCACATTTTTGCTGTAGGTTTAAAGTAGCTCTTAGTCAAGGAGTATATAAATGACGGCACGACAAGGTTCTGCAACAGATCTCTGAACATGTTATCTTGTGAGCGCCGAGTGAACACTTATAAGAACAAGGCCAGCGATGTAAGACAGTATCATTGACTTAGTCCATGCTGGGAGGAAAAAAGCAAGTACAGACGACCGAAAGGAGTCGTGGTTTGGGATCCTGAGTGGGTCTCGATATTGGATAGTGCTTTTATATATCGGACCTTATGATATTCTCAAGGTCACCAAGACGGCACAGTCTTATGGCGGGAGGTAACGGTACCATCTAAAGAGCAGATTGCTGAATCATACAAGTAAAAACTCTACCGGTACAGCAGTCTTACAGCAGACTGAGATTCAAGCGAAAGAATTGTGCTGTTATAATTATGCGGTTAAAGTTCTAGCACCGGGAGTAGTTGTTCACGGTTTGGAGAGAGCTGAGTAGGCTAGTACGGGATAGAAGGGAAGAAGCAGCTCACTGTTCCAGATGGATCTACTTCTTATCAAGGAAGAAGGAGTGGTAGGTATAGTAAGGAAGATTGGAGCCTAAGAGTTAACTTAACATCTAGAGGTACCACAAACTTTATCTCGTCGCCAATTGCGAGCTTTAACGGGTTTCCTCAAGTGACTCGATGGTTTAATTGTGACAAATCATGATACGAACTTTGATGAACCCATAATAGTATAGTGCAATAATACTATGATAGTATTCTCATAAGTTCTACCCTTGCAACCGAGTACAATGTACATACTAAGTGATATCAAGCTGCAATCTAAAATTTATTAATTGAATCTCAAAATAACTTCAAATTTTACCTAATAATTGCGACATCGTTGGAAGTGAGAAATAAAATACATTAAATTTTAATCCAATTCTGCGAGAGAAGATTTGCCCAGACAGCTGACAAGAATGTATTACCATACTTCCTGTAAATGTGGTAGTTATTAGGTCATATCAAACTTGAAAATTATGTCAAAGTTTTTCTCAGTCTCTGGTGTCAATCACCAGTAGAGTGCCCAGCCGCACCAAAACAACCTGCGATTTTTACGTGGGAAACATCGTATAATACACATGCTATACACTCTAGTTTTATAGCAGCTACTGATATCATGCGGCAGTATTAATAAGCATACAAATTCAGCGCAAAAAATTGTAAAGACGACACAAATTCATGCGGGATGTTAATAAATGTGTCCATGTTGAACTCAAACTCCGACAGAATGATATTTCAAATCGGATATATTATAATTAATCAAATGGTATCTGCTCATGTTCCGTCTATATAAACTACAAAACTTAATAAATTAGTGAAGTTCTGAAACAAAGATCACGACTAGGTTTTATCAAAATTGAAAAGAAAACCGATCGAAGTGCACTAGAGATATAGTTTAAGTTTAAAGGGTCATCATTACTAAAATCTCTTCCTAGCTCCTAGCAATCAAGTTGTTAATCCTAGTTCTACACCTAAACAAGTACAAAATTACAGCCTTACATTTTGAAATTTTTCGATATCTAGCTCAACATAAGACTTCGATACCAATAATGCATAATGGGTACATACCGATGATCGGTGTTCGTAAATATTTGATTATTTATAGTATTGAAGTTTAAAATCTTCCTAATTATGTAAGAATAACAAAAGGAATCACGTACTAGTGTGCTGTTACGAAAAACAACTATTTAATAAAAATAAATTAACAGTATTCGAGTACAAAATTAAAAATACAAACTCCAACATAATCGACAGACAAACTCAATAAATGAAGATTTCGTCGTGAAACGAGCTATATATACAGCTATAACGTAGCGCTCGACTCCAGTCTGAACCAAAATTAAGTCGCGTTCGTAGGAAATTGACCACCAGCTGCTGGTGGTTCGAATGTTGGTTTGCACACTACTGTGGTTGCGAGAAGCATTATTTGATGCGCGCGCCGCGCGCGACCCAGTAGTGCATCGCGCTACAACCTATAGTAGAGGCTGTTACGGGCAAATATCACGCTTTTTTGCTCGAGCCCTGGGACTTCTTTTAGGGTTCTTATATGATAGAATGGAGTGTACTGAACACTCTGATGGTATCGGGAACCTTCTAGAGCCTTCAGAAGCTGTGTTGTGAGCACTTTACTGCCAAAACTTCGGACATCTACAGACACCGGAATATCGACTAGAAATTTTTTCTGAGTTGTTCCCCTAATTTCTCTTAGGTTGCTTAAGCCCCAGAAAGTGTCAGATCGTCTAAATATTGCTCCATTCCGGTGTTAGAGACCTCGAAAATTTCGACCACGTAGAACGTGTTGCGCGTCGTATGTAGTGTTTACAATGAAAAAAGTGCACTTAAATCTGATTCGGTTGCGGCGGGTGACGTATCTAGCACGATATTTGCTCAAAAGCGCGTCACTGCGCCAGAAACCTCGTGGTACCGTAACGCTGTAGAAAATAGATAATCACAAGAGACACAATAAACGTATCATCACTATGCAAAGTTAATGTTAAAATGATACAATAGCCCTGCATTAACAGATTAATCCACATAAACACTATATTTCTACAGATGCCACCGATCGGTAAATCGAACATGTTTTTGAAGATAAATCGTCTTACGGAACGATAGCTGATAGAATTCGTTTCTACATTGAAAGATTTCTTTTCTAATCTCCGTTATGAGTGCTGTCTTTGTTAAAGTGTTATCATCTCTATCCGAATCTATTGTTGCGGCAAGATTAGATACAAACTCGTCTTACCGACATTGTCTTTCTGAAAACTGATGTGATCAGATTAAACATTGCTGGAGTTTGCAGCGTTCTCAGATAAATTAGACGTTACAGTTCTGGTAAAACATTCTCCTGCTCCAGTTAAAAGGTCCGTACAGCGTCAATACCTGCACTCATTAATGCAGCATTGGTGTTGTCGTGCGTGGACACGTGTCTTTCCATTTTAAAACAGGTTTTTAGAGACAGGTTTTAAACTTACAGCTTCAGATAATTTACCCTTCAATTGTTTCACCCTCGAGTTGCTGTACCTCAAACGACACGTTTTGTGATATCTACCTAGCTTGCTATAGAGATATTTTCCGAGACTCTCAGGGTTAAGAACAGGGCACTTGTTCATGTGCGAATCAGGATTAACATCGATGTTGCACAGATCCTGACGATTTCTGTAGATGTCCACAGATAGTATGTTGCGAAATCGACGAAGAAACTTTTATCTTTTCCTTGAATCAGACTATCCTTTTTCGTTTCTAACGTCTAGGGAAATTCGTATTGTTAAAGAAGAATAACCTCTCATACTCTTAAAATTAAATCGAGATAATATATGTATAATAATTATATTTGCGAGAAAAAGTTTCACACAAACCTGTTCAACCTGGCATATGAAACACAAGTCTCAGTCCATTTCAAACAAATCAACATCTGGTCCACTTGATTGGGAACTAAATGAAGAAAGTCTCCACATTTTCTTAGTTCTATTCGAGGAGGCCGAGGGTGACAAAGGCGGGACTTTTTCCACTTGGATGGCAATAGCTTCTTCAATCTTCATCACAAGAGGATTCGTCAATTTCAGAAACAGCACTGTACACCTGCAAATACTTTATTACTTCCCACATTTATATCAACAGTATCATATCACATAAGTTTGAGATCGTACAAGTGTTATATCATTTTAAAAGTTTGCAAATCCGATAGAAATGGATTAAAAATTACTACTCGCTGTCTATTTAACTTTGAATGATAATGTTTTTAAATGTTAGTAAAACAGGAGGAAACCACTCACCCTGTTATAGTTGTCTTTTACATAGTTAAGACACTGAATACACAAAAAAGAGGTTTGCTTTGGTGAGCACAACCCAGGATTGATCTTCTGCAGCAGGGCGAGGAATTCTCTAGACTGTTTTGTCATTCGTTCACTTTCAGAGCGGAAGAAAACTGTTTCATTAAAATCCTTTATTTCTATTCGGGTACAGATACAGCACTCTGAAAATTGATGAATGATCACATTTTTGTATACCCTACGGCAAAGTCTTATGTCTGTGGTAAAAGAATGATATTCTTTAAATAGTTTTTTATTAAAGCCTAAACTTAACTTCTACCAATTCAAAATTGTTTACGTCGGTCTCCCCTCCTTGAGCCACTTTTCACATAGCTATTGAGTATAAATCACTCTAGCACAAGCGACTTTCAAACCCCCTCCCCTAGGCTGGATTAGGTTATATGTGAACTGTGCTCTAGTGCATGACTGACTTTACATAATGCAGAGCATGCAAAGTTTTGATGTTTCATAAACTTATGAATAAAGTTTTAAAAATCGTGACATAAAAAGCAGTGGTCGCCCGGTGCCCCGGCCAAAATCACAACCCCCAGCCCCGGCCAAAAATTGGCAATTCGCCGGGGGTAAACACCGGCCCCGGCCAATAAATTTAACCCCGGCCAATTTTCAGTGGTCAGCCCGGGGGGATACAACGGTCATTAATGTGCATTAATGGGCATAAATGGGCATAAATGGGCATTAATGTGCATTAATGTATATGTATATTTCAGCAAAATTCTATAATACTGACATTAATGACCGTTGTATGCCCCCCGTCAGCCCCAGCCCCAGCTATATTGGGGCTCCCCGGCCCCGGTCAGAATCCTGCCCCCGGTCGACCACTGATAAAAAGTTAACTCACTGGATTTGTCCAAAAGCGAGAGAAAGTACTGAGAAAGCACTTATACGTCACCACCAGAGGGCCTAGAGAGGTTATCTTTGTCTGTTTAATTGAATATTGAGTATATAATATGAGATTTAAGATGAACATGATAGATATAATGTCCAAATTCTAAAGTTCCACCAAAATTGAGTCACATTAAACTTGGTTAACACAACAATTTTCTTCATTATAGTAGGTGATTTGACATAATGAAGTGTAAACTAAATTATTATTTATAATAATTACCTGTCGGAGGGATTTAAGTGTTCCTTTGAACAGTCCTTTTCTGGAAGGTTGAGAGCTTTCAATACATCCAGAGAGCCAAATTGGATTTGTCCTTCTTTCGGGCATTATATGCAGTCTTTGATATGATGCCTTGTACATTTTGAAACCCTGCAGTTATCATTATTCAATACTTATAGAGCCTTAGATAAGGGGTTAGGGGTCGTTCACATAATATTGTGTAATTGTAATATAGTAAGGTTACTGTACATTTCCAACCCTTTGTCATGTATATCACAACAGATGATGTTAAAAGCATAATAATATTATGATACAGTTTTACAGTTTTTGTTACGTGTTGATAATCTAGCTCTTATCTCTATTTTATCGCTACATTACAACTGCCGGTTGGATCACTGAACTCGCGGAAGCTACGAACCGTGACAATAAATCTGAGTTTTCAGTTGAAACGTTCAAAAAGCCAGTGAAGTCAGTTTCAGTAAAACATTTGTAATTTGTATTCTGCGTATCAGACTACCGATAATCATGTAAGTACGTTTCTGGATAACAAGAAAGATATGGAGGAGTTGAAGAGCGATCTTATCCGATCGCAAAGTACTGTTATCAAGCTGCATGCTGAACTTCTGGAAACTAAATCGAAGCAGTTGGAATCCGTGCACTCTAACGTCAAGACCGCCGTTCAAGACACTGTCCAAGCTGAGATGAACTCATACAGTCAAGCTGTGACTAAAAATGCACCTGTGCTTGCAGAAGAGAGTTTAAAAAAGGTTGTACAGAATTGTACAGAATGCTGTATCGGAAGAGGATCGCAGTAGGAATGTGCTCATCTTTGGTTTGAAGGAGACTGATGAAGAGGAACTGTGCAATAAAGTTACCGTGATTTTTCAGCAGATTGAAGAAAAACCACGTTTTGAAGCTATCTGGGTTGGGAGAAAATCAGCCAACAAGACGAGACCAGTCAAAGTTTCGCTAGGTAATTCTAACTTACCGTTCATGAGATATTAGTAAATGCCAAAAAGCTGAGACTGTGTGAAGATCATAAGACTGTTTTCATCTCTCCAGATCGATCACCTGAAGATCGAGCTATCCATCAGCGGTTGGTCTTGGAAATGAAACAGATAGCCAAAGCAGGCATGGCTCCACCGTGTAGGTTCGGGTGGGTGCGCACCCACCCAAAGGATGTTGCACCCACCCAAACGATTTGAAAATGTTCACACAAAAATTGTCAAATTTTGTATAAACTAAGGGTCAATTGACTTCTGTTATCAATTGAGACTGTTTTGGAGATATTAAAATACGTTTAGGAGAGTAAAATTCCAAAATTTTCCAGGGGGCTTCACCCCCCCCCCCCCCCCGCCGTGCACCAAGCTGCACCCACCCAAAGTTTTTGAGCTGGAGCCATGCCTGAGCCAAAGAAGACACAAAAAAACATTATTATATCAGAAGTGGTAATATTTGTAGCTAGGACAAGATGTTAGAGAGTGATACATAATAATGAGTGATATACATCCATAAGTTTTTAATTTTGATTGTTGATATAAGCGGGATAAAAATAATTTATTTCATTTGTATTGGACGGGACATACACATTACACATATTACACAAAGATGCTACGTAGTTAGTTAGTAGTTAGTAGGAGACGGGAGCTTTCTAAGCTTTCCGTAGTGCCCCCAACCTGCTTTCAGATATGGGGGTCATATATGCCTTCAGTTTCCACCCGGTAAACCTGGTCGGAGAGCCCCCAGGTTTCAACTGCGCATGATAATATAGCCGTGCGGGTAATAAATCCCGGGTTGGCTTCTCGTGTATTCAGTAGTGTGGCCGACCCCACTACTCTGCTGCGCGTTGCCGTGTTGGGGTGCTATCCCGGCGCGCGCCGGAGCTAGCCCCTCTCCCCGGCCTCCACGCACTTCGGCTATTTTGCTATATCAGAATTGAAATATGCGTTCGTTTTGCGTACTGTATTTTTGGTATGATAATTATTTGTAGAGAATCAGAGCTGCCATGCCGCTCGCCCGAGCGTTCAGAGTTTGGTGCTGTATGGTGCTGGGTATCTCATGGAAGGACAAGGTCAGCAATATAACTTTGTATGGTAGTCTACCAAGGCTGTCAAACAAGTTACGAAGCAGGAGACTAAAAATAGCGGGACACTGCATCAGACATCCTGAGCTACTTGCCAGTGATTTAGTCTTATGGAAACCTATGCATGGTAGAGCACAGCAAGGCCGACCAAGACAAAGCTACTTGTCTATGTTACTGAAGGAAATTGGGACAAACTCAAAAGAGGAACTGTGAACCCTGATGCGGGACAGGGATATATGGAGGGGGTTATCTGGCGTAGATCGGACTTAGTTCCGAAAAAATAGTAGTACCTATTTCATTAATAACCTGCATAGCTGAAAAGTTGATTGATGTAGTTTCGATAAACAGGGCGTCGTTCAACTACACTCATTTCGTTCCAAGCTGGAATGTAGTATTGTTTAGTGTAGGTTTGTTCATGTACCTCTCATCATCAAAAGGTTTCAACTTATACAGCATCGATAACATCATCTAACAAAGCTGTTTGAACAACTTAAGATTCAGTTAAAATTACATTATTCAGATACAGTTTGTGAAATGAAACATTGTCAGCCTGTATTTAATTAATTATAATAATTATGGTAATTTAGCTAAAAATCAAACCATTTGAGTTTTCATTGTTATCAAAATAATGTCGATCTAAATTCGTCTTAATCTGCATGGCTGTGAGCGGATTGAAGTCTTTTAACAAACCACACAAGCTTCTTTTATCAAGAAGATTCTTGAAGTGATCCGAATGTACACAGAGAACTGTCTTAGCTAGTTCTGGGTCCATAAACATGTCACCTTCTTTCTAATGGTGATTGTCAAGTTTGTTCAGCAACATAATTCAGAATTACAGAAATTATTTGAATCTACTAGAGATGAAATGGCTTAAATAACAAGCAATAGATGTAACTAAACAATTAAATACATATTGTAGTTTGACTACTTCTTTGAAACAATCAAAGAACGGGGGAGCTAAGGGAATGATTGCTCAAAACGAATGATATCTTCATGAATTCAATGCAGCATCTATACATTTATTCGAAATTAGTGATGGATGAGGGGGTTTAAGTCAGGCATTCCTGACATTTACTCTGATGTCAGGGGCCTTTTATATATTAGTGAAACAAATTTTTTTTTTTAGTGAAACAAATTTAAAATTTTATCCTTTATTTTACAATCATAATATAATAATATTTATAAGCCTCCGTTTTGAAAGTTTTAAATTTTAATACATTCACAATTCTATTTAAAATTCAATTTTATGTACAAGTCAATAACTGGCCGCCAAAGCCGCGCATTCTTGAAAACAGGATTAACTTGATTATAGTTATACGACTATGTAAATTTAAAACTATCCGTGGTTTTTTCTTTTAAATAAATAAATTATAATTTTACCTAAGTCCAAAGCCAGCTTTAAAAAATTTACTATTAAATCATAATATATCGTCAACTTTAAATATTTACAATGCAACAATTCATTAATCTGTAAACACGCTTACTCCAGCCCCTAAACGCATAAATTGTTATGCGGCGCGGCTCAAGCCGCGCACGCACGTATTATTTTATACTGTTTGCTTTCTAATAAATATCGTGCCAATGTGTACGTCTAAATTGTAAACGTTCATGTTTTGTGTAAAGTGAATCCAATTGGGACTAGTGACAAGGATAAGGACCCAAGTGCCTGTACGGCTTTTTCGGGCCCCTGTGGACCACTACTCTTGAAATCACTCTACAACATTGAACATCTATATCTACTACGTCATTTGGCAATTGTTGTCATTAATCTAACTTTCTAATTAATTGCCGAGGGGGAAGAGTAAACGCTTCACATTAAAATTCAATATACAAAATTCAAAACCATCAATACGGTATTAAATATTATGGACAAGTCTATAGATCTATTTCGTAGTCATATATTCACATGATTTGCTTTATATTATCTTAATACTGTAATGAAGTACAGTAGGATTTGTGTTTCGAGAAAGAAAGGTTGCGGTCAAATTATTAACAAAAGTAAACAAAAGTCCATCAGGGACTCCGTGGAGTCGAAAAAGGTACACGGCTGCTGTCTGGTGCTGCTAGGCATTTATTGATCAAGATGTTTTATTGTATTGATTTATAATGATTCTATTGTTCGTGACTAATCAAGTTCTAAGTGGAGGTATAAAGTGCTGCTCAAGATACTTCGTCATCTCATGTCCAGTATAATGATTAAGATAGTATACAATGCAGTTTTAGTAGTTGACCCAAACAGTTAAGTCCGTCATAACTCACAATCGTTAAGTCGTCGGTCAATTGTCAAAGTCGTCGTGTGTTTATTCGTTGAGATAGCAGCAAGATAAGATGTTACGCGCGCGCGCGTTTAATCCCGTCGACGTGAGATGTGACAATGAAAACGCCATAGAATTATTATTTTCGCGCGTTACGTAGAGTTTACCAGTGTGTAATACTAGTTAACACTGGGTGTACACTGAGTGTAAGTGTAAGTTTCATATACAAGCCGTTGAATATTTCCAATTTTGAGTGTATCGTGAGCATGTTTTGCAGTGCGATTGCTCGGTACTAGTGTGTTTGTGTATATATATATATATCATTTGTGGAGTATGGTGTAAGTAATGTTTTTGGTTGGAGTGCAGTGGTTATATGTATGAGAAAAGATATATGGTCATTTTAGTAACTCAAATAAATCAGAACTTGAGCTCATTTGTGGCAAAATTAAGCTCACACCAAAATGTATTATATTTGAGTATAATACATTTTACCTTATAATTAACCATCACTCCCGTCTAGGAAGTACTATGTATTTGTGTATGTAATTGAGATCGTATCAGCGCCTTTCATTCTACTCAACGCGTTTCATTCTCATATATGTCAAGCTTGTTTAGAGTAGAATGAAACGCGTTGAGCAGAATGAAAGGCGCTGATACGATCTCAATTACATACACAAATACATAGTACTTCCTAGACGGGAGTGATGGTTAATTATAAGGTAAAATGTATTATACTCAAATATAATATATGAAAGGCCCCTGACACTACTACTATTTATAAATTCAAAATCATGTTAAGAAGATAGCAGCAACTAATCCATATTATTTACAGTGCTCTATTTTATGTGTACTGAAGAGTGCCTTTACAATATTCCACTTTGTGGTGTAGATTTCCTCCATATCCAACAGGCAACACTGAATGAGTGATGGATGAGGGGGTTTAAGTCAGGTGTTCCTGACATGTATTCAAAATTGCATTAAGAAGATAGCAGTAACTAATCTATATTATTTACAGCGCTCTATTTATGTACTGAAGGGTACCTTTACAATATTTCAGTTTGTGGTAGGGTTCCTCCACATCCAACAGGTAACACGGAATGAGTGATGGATGAGGGGGTTTAAGTAAGGCGTTCCTGTCAAAAGATCTATAATTAATCTTGTAAGGGTACCACACAGTAGACATTATATTGTTGATTGTGAACCAAAAGTTTATTCATACCCACAATCGATAAATTATAAATCCAAATAGTCATATAAGCAATGCAATACTAAATTGGTGAAATTGTATTAACAAAAGGTATACAGCCAAGTAAAGGTATCTCAACAATATAACATTGAAGTATTAGAAATGGCACTCTACTATTATAAAACACTTTACTGTACTGTATTAAACAATATTAAATGAAATTAAGCCAGAGAAGGCATGAACTTCAGAAAAGGACAATACACTAACGGTACAAAAACTTAAATGAGTTTCAGGGAAGGGTTACTAAAATTTTACGGTAGCGCTCGATTTTATTCAAAAATTTTCAAAGTGCTCAGCACCACGAAAAATATAATTTTTTCTTCCGCTTTCAAAACTTGTTTTGACGCTGAAAAACTATCAAATAGTATTATTGAACAGTATTAAAACACTTTGTGGGCAAAAATATTTCATTTTGGATGTATAAAGAGCCGATAAAATTTAGCGCGCAAAAAAACATTTTTTTTGGGAGGTTTTTTGAAATTTTGAACAGGTTAACTCTTATGTGTGCTTATGAACTTAATATTAGCTAATGCGGCATATTAAAATGTATCAGAAACCGAAATATCTAAGCTTTTTTTGAAATTAACCTATCGATAATCCTGAAAAACCTCAAAAAATGACCATTTTTAGGGCCAAAAATCGGTTTTTAAAAAATAAAACCAGGTTACCCCCATTTTCAACACTTCCCACTATCACCAATCGATTCAGGGGCCAAAAATACGTCTTTTAAGACATGTCTGATGACTCTGGTGTATCGAGCAGAAAATCCCCGTAACAGCTCCTACTACTATACTAGTATGCCAATCCCAATATGCGTCGCTATTTTAGTTTTCGAGCTTCTCGCATTATACATGAGAGGATCGACTTCGAGCAATAGACTAACAAGCTAGGTAAGTATAATCTATAAGTATAAACTATAAACTATAATGTTTTCATTTATTATTTTCATTAAAATCTGAGTAAAAAATACACTGCTATCGAAATGTAGTAAAGCATCAAAATTGTTAATGGAATTTATTAATATTATCTATGCTTCCTGCAAATTTTAAAGGAAAAAAAAAACTCAAACTCAAATTAACTCTTTATTTTCACTAAAACATCAAGCCGATAATAGGCAATATGATAATACAAATACACTAAAAGGTGACCACAGACCATATAAAAGACTAATAAAACACACAAGAAATAAACTAAATTTAAGTCTACGATTACAAATTAAAATCTTAATTTTACCTTAAAGTTAGACTTAGGAGTAACAACAAATTTTCAAAATTAACTCAAAGTTAATATATTTTGAGCAACGTTCTAAATTTTAACTGAGATTCATTATGATAAAACAGTTTTTTTCGTTACCAATTAAGTAGATTTGCATTAGTATTACCGATTGAGAGTTTGACCGTTTATTGTAAAGAGTGCGCGCGGCGTCAGGCTGGAGAAGCAAGTAGAGACACAATGCGCGGCTCGTCGTCCAGCACTAGGACAGGTTTGTGGATCTGAGATTGATCAACATAATTTAATAGGGTCACAGCCACAATCAACGAATTCAACGTGGATATTTAAGAAATTGTTTGAATATAATCGACAGTGCCGTATTTTTTGTTTTTGGTCAATAATCCTTGTATAATTGTCTCACTACTGACTACACTTCGTTATCAATATCAGTTATGCGCTACCTTTATTTTTTTCGAATGAGGCCTCGGCAGTTGCATGCAAGGAATGACCACTGGCCAGAAAACGTCCGGAAAGTCAACCCTAGTTCTGCAGTTTACTTATACTGATAGTTTATATAGAGATCATAGCATTAAGAAAACTTGCCATTAAGTAAAAATGAAATAAAGTGACAGTAAAGTGGACCCCATTTTAAAGATTAGACTTCAAATTCGATGAAATAATTTTTCCCCATTTAATCAACAACCATCATCAAATTCCTAGGAGTATGTTAAATGAGTACCATGCATCTCTTATATTGTCTTTAGCCATATTCTTAATCTTCAGATAAAATAAAATGTGAAAGCTTGTGGGGCGTGCTAGCCGGAAGGAGTGCTCATTGAGATTGTCTGGTACATTCTCCACTTATCCACAGCAACCTTGTCCAGGATATGAGTCTTGATGAGTCCCGTCCGTTCTGGGTAAAATGTGGAGGTGCCGTCAAACACTCTGAAACGTATGCGCAGTTACTCAATCAGTAATGATAAAACAAGCATCCTTGCGTGTAGAGTGTGAAACTCACAATATGTTGGTAAATAATTTTATAAAATTATTGAACAATTCATTTAATGAATGAGACTCTCTGCAGACTGTTCAGATGACTAACCGAACAAAAGAGGAGTTGATTCTGCTGTTGCCACAAATAGCCCACCTCACACTTACACTCTCCTTCTCCTTCACTGCCTCCAGCACGTCCTGTGGAGATTATTCCTCAAATTTACATGTCAAGTTTGAAGCTACTTTCTTACCGTTTAGACTTCAATCAATCACTGTCCGCATAATGTACCTGCAAGCTAATCTGAACCGCAGATAATCAAAGTGCTTTTACGAAGAATTTCTTTAAAAACACTTACAATGTAAAGGTCGGTGTAGAGTAGAGTCAGAGATCTGAACCATGCTGTTAGACCAACTTTATAGGATTGTCTACCACTGAAACAAAAATTGTTAGACCAACTTCATTCGGCAGAGCTCTTTTAGACTTAGAGTTGGGATCGGGGCTTCCCTTTTTAATGTTACTTTTCGCTACAGACGTATTGTTTGAGTCATAATGTCCGATGATCATTGATTGACCAACTTCCCAGCAACATACGTCTATCTCTTTTATTTAGTATAAGAGCTAAATCGTTTAACCATATTAAATTCTGGGTTGAAAGCGCGTCATACTAATGATATAGCATAGAGTATATTGTATAGAGTATCTCCAATAATAAGGGGCCTGTACCAGTTCAGAGAATTATATAAATGATTTGCCAAGTTCCCCAGAAAACCTCTTAGTTCGGAGTATTATTTTAATAGCATTTAAAACGCGTCGTTTGAGGCGAATAAGAAAACTAATTACTAATACTACGGTAAATAGTCTGGGTCCTAGCCACTGGTACTAAATTGGAGAAACTCTGATCACGAGGACACTTATACAGCTTCTCGGTTAAAAGCTGCTTACTTCTCAATCTCGCTCAGTTGTAGGTTTATAACCTACTGTAACGCTGGCCGAGTTTCTTCGCAACTCATCGACGATGGTTATTATTACTTCATTTAGCTGCAATATTTATTTGAATTATCAAATAGGTATTGTACGAGTAATAGTATTACCCGTTAATTAATCAATCAGTAGCTTGATTAAATTCTGGCGTGAGGAGTTCTTGTGCCAGCAAGTCCTCGCTACACATTTCAGATACTTGTTTTATTATTCTTTATTTTTGTTTGAAGAATGCAATTGAATGCGCGTGTGTTGAAAGCTAATCCTTGATGTTTATTGTAGTGTTAACATCAAAACAACATATTGATATTATGGTAGATTATAGTATGTAATACTGAAAATATGTAATTTAGGACTAACTTAGTACTTTATTTAGCTACAATTCTGCGTCAGAGAGTGGTTAATGGTTATTTATAGCCACATAAATATATTCATGTTAGTTTGACGCCGATATAACGTCAAACACAACTAAAGTATAATCTAATACAATGAATCCTTGACTTTATATCAAAAAAATTCTATTTATAGAATTAGTTCGATTTGTAAATGCTTTGTTAAGGTTTGCTATATAATAAAATGCTCAATTCCTCAATAATCCAACTTACAGACGTAACAACCCGAACAAGCTTCTGACACAGTACATGTTGATTTGTTGTTACGTTACTCAGCCTAATCGACAACTCTTTATACTTGTAGTTGTAGACCATAATTCTTGTTCTCCAGTCACATAAACTACAGCTATATGTTAATACCCGGCACAATTTGAAACGTCACAATTGTGTTGGATCTGGTCCAACAGCAGACAACCAACTTTCCTGCTGGCTGATCTCCAAACCATGTGCCTCTCATCAGTCTCATACACCGGTCAATAGTGCAATAAGAGCGGTTACCAATATTAATATTCAACACAGACTGGTTTCTCTGTAGCCACAACGGTGCTCATGTATAAACATGTGATAAAGCGGAATAAAGGGACCTCCGCTGAGTAACACGGATATAAGTTGAGTGCCAAATGAGAAGAGAACACTAAAAGTGGGGTGCCAGATAAAAGGAGAACGAGACTAGTAATTGTAACAGGAAGAGAACGAATAATTACAGTGAGGGGACAGGAAAGGAAGGAAGAGGTAGCGCGAGGAAGCGGAAATAAAACGTAATGATACTTGGCATGTGGTATGTCAGCACCGCATGATAGGTAGTGAAATATGTTCCTGGTGTTTAACATTCCACAAAAGTTACTCACTTGTGTGTCTTAGTCTTTTTACCAGTGTTTTTAAATATCGTTTCTAGTGTTACAGTGTTTTTATGTAGTGATTGTAGTGCTACAATGTTGTTGCTACCTTTTATACCCTTATTAGGAATGTGTGGATTTTGAAGAGTTCTTTGATAGCGCGGCTCTACACATGGTGTTACATGAACACTATCATAACAGGAGCCACATTCTCACGACTTATTACGTGTCCAAATAAGGAGAGATAAAGTATTGTAACGTTACTATTCTACTGAGACACTGGAGTTGTACGTGTTATCTTACGGGAGGAGAAATAGTTAACATATTTAAGATAAAGTATATAATCATTAGATATAACGTAATGCTTGCTGATGATTTCAACGTCTTATGATGTTACACCTCAGAGGTGAACCTGGCGCGATGCCAACAAATACTGACTCATTATAGTTTTAACATATTTCAATTTTACGTCAGATGATCAAATTAATCTTATATTTTTGTTTGCTTTTGTTAGTCGTGGCAACACGTGGCAACACTATAAGTTTAAGTAACAGTTTTCAGAATCGGACGATTTTTGTTAATTAATATGACGGCTTTGCTACTTTCAACACTACTTTTTAACAAATCATTCGTTTTTGTGATTTGATATTTTAATAAAAAATTTAATGATAATCTAATCAATTGGTTCAGTTTTTCTCATGCCTAAAGAGCAGAAATATTCATTGTAAAAGTCTTATTTTCGTCTCTTGCTGTTCAAAGGTTTTGTCGTTTTGTGCGGTTCGGAAATAAAATCCTAAAATTAAAACAAAAATTGTTAAATTTCCGGAATTTTAAGAATTCGTCTACACAGCACTTCTTAGGTTGATTAAATGTGATTTAACTTTATCATTTATGGATGCTTAAAGTTAAAATCAAGCCGGAATGTGTTGTTCATACATAGCTCATTTTATTAATCTGAATCATTATCCCTTGTTTAGTTGTTAAAGTCAATGAAAATGCCACTGTTATAAAGTTATAATAACTGTTAAACCTATGCAAACATTTTTACAAATCTTTTGTCGCTTCATTTTGAGCAATTCTCGATTTTTCGGCCACATCACAAACAGCTGGTAAAGTTAAGTATTTGACCACATGATAACTCATCATGTTTCTTTGTTTTTGTAGAGAGACAATTAGAAACAGATAACAAAAACAAAATGGTGTTTTTAACTCCTGGTACTTAAACTGTAATGGTAATACTTCACTTTACAAATCTTCCTTGTTACATCCGCTGGTACCGATCTATCTTTCTTTAATTAAGATACACTAGATCTGTTTGCTGTCAGGAATTATTGAAATGTTAATAAATTTGAACCGGGGAAATACTTATTAATTCACATATAAAAGACATATATCAACATGTTTAGAACTCTGTTTATGTCGTACGTCGGTCGTTTAAAGCATTCCCTAGCATTCTAAAGATTAAAGAACAACGACTCTAACCAGATCCCATAAACTTTATCCCACCAGCCCGAACAATTCATTCCACACGATCCATTCCACTGCAATATTACATTAGACATTTCCAATAGGGTATAATGAGTATCCCATTATGTAATAATACCCCACATTAATAACCCGGCACTGGACTGACACTACAATTACTGAGCACTAATACACTACCTCTACTACAAATATACCTCTGTTGTTGTGACACGGTCCAGTTTGTATTTTCAGCTACACCATGACAACTTGTGACGCTGGTTGTGCTGTTGTTGCCATGGTAACGGAAGCATCATAACTCTGCTAGCGCTCCGTATTAAGGAAGATTGGGAGATCTGGATTACTTTTAACATGGTCTCTCAGTAGATAGTTGTCTAGCTTTCTAGTTTGTAGTTACGGTGTTTTGATTCAACAAGCAGCGCTGGAGATATGTGTGTTGTATCATAGAGCGTGACGTGTTGGATTGTTTTTAACGTGTAGTGCACGTGTGTACTTACTTAATATGGCGTACTTTAGTAGTTGGTTAATGTTATAGTACTTACGACTTGTTAAGTGTGTTAGTTATCTGTTGCAGTTCCTGCAGGACTGCTTTATAGTTCAGGCTTATCCTCTTTTTCAGTCATTTAGTTTGATACCTGTACTACACTTGTTCTAATAGTTAATGATACTGTACTTATCGCGTTTGTAAAATGATCTGATATGAGCTGTGATTGAGTCTAGAACTTCATTGTGAGCTCCCTAAGATCAAAATACACAAAATGGCAGTTAAAATCGAAATTTTCGTTTCTTCTAAAGAAATAAGGAAATCTAATTTTCCAGTGCCACCTCAGGTCTGACTGTCCCATTTTCAATTGTTACCAGGTTTAGTCATTCGATCAATCTGATGTTTATCATGTTTACCGTGTTTTCAATTGTTGGCAAGGGGATCGAAATTTGATATACTGAGCCTAAATTGAGTAGTTGGTTGATTTTTTAACACTCTGATTCAATAGTAGGTAAGTCTCATCTTCGTGGATTTTATAGCGCAACCTTTTGCCAAGGGAAATATTGTTCTTACTTTTGTTTTCATCACAAGTTGGGATATCCGTCTAGTAGTTTAAAGAAGCATATATCGATTAAAAGCGGAGAAATTATCAGTACAATTCTATATCAGGCGCCTTCCCTACTGGACCCGAATCACTAATAACTAACTTTTAACACCTGTAGTCAGCTGCAGTTATTAAAACTTAAAAGCGAAACTTTCGATTTCGAGTTTTCTTTATTATTTGCTATAATTAGTGATAGCTCACGAGACACTAATACGATTTACGATCAGCGTTCTGCCTCACTCTTATTCTAGGTATTTGAATTTCGAGTAAATATGGAGCCTGCTCGAGTTGTTTTGTTTGATTATGATAACTATTGGATCTCAGCCAAAAATCTTACCCAGAGTCATGTTACCATGGTTACAGAGTTAAGTCACGCCACCTCAGTACCTGATTATAAGCTCACCCCAAATAAGTCACCTCGTTTTAACAACTGTATATAGCTTTTTCTAACTTAGTTTGTTTTCAGGAAAACTAAAATCATAGTTTTTCATTAGAAGATTTCCGTATGTGGTCGGGTCTCCAAAAGACCAGGAAATCTTCAGCACTCTCGTGATATTTCTCTCTGAGTTAAGATAAATTAGATAAGTAGCCGAGTCATTGCGCAGCGTGAGTCATGCCCGGATATTATGATTATACTCATATTATCCCACATTAT